GCGTATAGCGCGGATCAGGGGGTGCGCTATATCCACGTGGCGTCAAATCACCGTATATCGCGGGACAGGGGTCGCGCTATACCCACGTGACGCCAACTCAGCATATAGCGCGTTGCAGGGGGCATGCTTCCCTGCTAAGGGTGTTAGATCAAAAAATATAATTTTACCGGTGTTAGATCGATAATAATACCGATCACCGGTGATATACTGGGAAAATAGCCTGTTTATTAGTTGCTACAGATAGCTACTTTGCATACAACAGTTCTTATCGGGATTCATATTTTTCTAGGGTAGAGTTTTCTCTCTGTAGTCAATGATGTTCTCTCTCTCATTATCTAAAAAGTTATTGACGTATTGTTTTGTTATCTCTAGCTCCTTCCCCTTCTCCTTCTCCTTCTCCTTCTCCTTCTCCGTCTCCGTCTCCGTCTCAACTACGTGGGAGTATGAGTGATGGTGTTTTGATTCGATAGAGAGTGGCAATGGCCGGCTTAGAACATAGGATTGTAAACTTTATTTTATATCGTTTTTATGAATTTTAAAATGTATTAAATTATTAATTTCAAAACGGTTTGAGAATATAACCGTTTTTATATTGGTATAAAGATAAAAGAATAATGTATTTTTATTTTATTTATTTATTATTAAAATTATTATTTTTTATTGTTTATGATATGCGATAAATATAATGCGATATCTGTTTAAAGATAACTTTCAACTATATGATATTAAGAACGTTTACACTCCTAATATTCTCGATTCTCGGGACTTCAAGGAATAATAATATATTTTTACCACAAATAAATTTATTTTTTATTTTAGATGTTGATAAATTTATTTTATCATTTTTATTTTATTAATTGATTCTTTAATAGTCTTAGGGAATAATAACAATTCTTTTACCATCAATAAATTTATTTTTTATTTTAGATGTTGATAAATTTATTTTTTTTCATTTTTAATTTTATTAATTGATTCTTTAATAATCTTTGATGATAATTTGTACAGAGGTAATTTTGATTATGATGTCCATAATTCTTTTATTTTTTATAAGTTTTTTTTTTTATAATTATTTATTCTTATGACATGATTCTTATGAATTTTGATATGTTTTTCATATATATATTTACAATCGTTTTGGTGCTCACACAAAGACCTTCATAATATTTATTTTTTTTATTGATATGTCAGTGATAGAGTATATTCCTTCTTTAGTAAAAGATTATTTGTTGATATAATTAAAATTATATAATGAAATAATTTGCTAGATAGCATGGTTCACTCATCCCTCCTTTATCATTTGTAAATCATATATCGTTTCATTTAGCAGAGATAAATGAACTGCATAAGATGGGAACATTTTCATGTCAATAAACCAAGGCTGGTTTGCATTTTCAAGTGGGAAGGCACAAACAAGTACAAAGAATTACATATTGCAAAACATTGAAACCAGTCCCTCACTGCCTCAGTCATATCCAACAAGAGTTTAGTAGCTTATACAACAGTTCCTGGCTCGGCCAGAACGAAGAAAATCATCTCGAATACACACTATTGACTCTACTCCAATGGAAACAACTATCCGAGGAGTTTTTCCCAGGATCCAGTACACTATTTTCCAGATAGTATACAAATCTACAAAAAGTTCCCATCAAAGATAAACTTTTATGAACCCTCGACAAACTTCTTGCTTTCACATCAAGTATCCATACCATAGTAAGCATAGTAAGCGTTGCTCATACAAATTTCAAAAAATTTCACAGCTCGAAAGAAACGATTCAAGGAAAACATGTATATCAATCAGACTAGGCTGTAAGGCATCATGTTATATATCTTATTGAATTTGCACCATAAATCAAATGATATTAACAAATGAAAAACCTAATGATGCAGTATGGTCTGGCAGTTTGATCATAAAGCTTTAGACAAAATGAATATCATACGGTAATTCAAAGCTTTGAGTCAGTGGATGGGTTCGGAGACGTAGCCATCTTAAGCATTGCTTCTTGAGTCAATGATACAAGCTGCAAATCAACATACGAAAGTATGATGAGAGGCTAAAGCAGTTTTCCTCGGTTCTGAAGCTTTGAACCCAAAGACATTTTGCTTCCCTAGTGTTAACTTCTGTGACAGAAGAAAGAAACTAAAGACATGAGAGGCTAAAGCTGTTTCCCTCCGTTCAGAAGCTTGTAATTTCTGTATAGATCATAGGATCTTCTTTTATGTCTTGCTAATGTATGCGGTTCGTATGACACATGTTTATTAAATAATCATCTATTGGCTCTATTTCTCACTTGATGTCAATGGTTCTCCATGTTTTCCGCGTTCGAGAACCATTGGAATTAGAGAGATGACAAGAGTATGAAGCAATGTTAGAAATTCAACCTACAGATCCCCGAATGGGAAATCCGCAAAATGTACGTTAAAAAGCAAGAGTTATACAAATGACAATCCCCTAATGTTAAAGGTTGAGCTCCAAAAGCATTTACCGTTGCAAGATTTAGCCCACAATACATGTCAGACAGACTTCACACTCCTCCTAAACCTGAACTTGCTTGAGCACTGCGAAATGATTCCTTTGTTACTCCATAATAGAGCGGTTTATTCCCTGTAAAGGTGATAAAGTTCCACCCAAAAGCCGACCCCCCAACAATATAAGTCCCTGGAGCTTCACCATCTTCAGATTGTAGTTTCCCGGTGACACCACTCGACTGGAAAGTCTTGTTTTTGGAAGATACTGCTGGTGCTGGCCTAACGACCTGCTGCTGCTCGTGGGGCTTCTGCTTCATTCCGGTTTCACCTTGTAGTGTCTGGCCTCCGGATTCATTGTTACTTGTCTCCATGGAGGCTATCATCTGCTTATACAATTCTACCAAATGCTTCGTCTCTGCAAATCACAAATTTGAAATGCATAAGTTTTCGATTATGAATCAAACAAAAATATCATATGCACAGAGTGATCACCAACGATGGACCCTTCTAAAGAAATGGTTTCCATGACAAAATGTTCACCATTAGCAGCTAGCTAACTGCAAATCTTAACAGTTGCAAAACTTAACAAAGCGTATTGTGAGCTTACTTTGTTTGATTTCACCAGCGGCCTCGCAATTTCGAAAATCAGGCGCCCGAAGAACCTTCAAGGAATATAAAAAAATCCATATCATATCAACAGAACTAACAACAATAGTTTAAACTTCAACAACTATACTTGGTTAAAACATAAATTTTCGAGTTCACGAAGAGAAACCCACAAAATAAGAACTAATAATCCAAAATAAAGATTTGAACAATTATAATCTAATTACACTGCTTTATACTAATTATTGGAAAAACCGAAACTTGATCCTAAAAAGGGTTTCTTTTCATCTAATTTTAAACCAACATGCAAGAGGGAGGGGGATAGACAATAAAAACCATACAAAAGGAAAAAAAAGGAAAATGTTGGAAATATATGAAAATACCTCGACGAAATGAGGACGAAGATCTTTGAGAACAAGGCGCATCTTGAAATATGGCGAATTTTGGACTTGATCATTGCCGTTTTCTAGAGGTCTTTTCTTGCTAGCTGGCTGTTCCCGTGCCGTTGGTGGTGGCTGAGGTGGAGGAGCTGATGTTTGAGCTGCGGTTGCTGTTGGCGGGTTCGCCGCTGCTTTCGTCTCTTCCATTTTCTCAGTTGCAAATAGCAAAAATACCAGTTAACCCCAGGGGTTCGCTTATGGACACCCTTTTCAAACCTTTCAGTTTCCGATCTTGCTCCGACCCAACTCTCTTCTAACAGGTCCAATTTGTACCATGAATCCTTATATTATGTATAAAATATGGACCTTCAAAAAAAATGTATAAAATATGGATTTATTACACGTACCACGACTTGATCAATTCTACTCTTTACATTTTAAAAAAAATAAATAAATAATATATTTAAATTAAATAAAGTTAAAATGATTATATTGAGGAATAAAATTAAACATATAATTTATGTATAATACCTGAATTATTCTACTAATTTAATAGATTTTACTATCATTATTTGAGATCAAATTTTAAAATTAAAAAATATTTATATTGAAAAGAATTAAATTAAATTAAATTAATTAAATTTTAATTTAATTTAATTAAGTTAAAATATTTATATTTTCAAGAGCATTGATTAAAAAGTAATATTTCAGAACCAATGACTAGTTGGTCTAGTGAGATGATGAAATACTAAATTCCTTAAACAATGTCAATGGTTTGAATCTTAGCGTTTGTATATAGAGAAAACTGAGCAGAGAATATCGCTCCCATAATGGACCTCTGCAAACCCCGATATGAATTAATCGATTAATATATTAGATACCAATAATTATTTTTTTTAAAATACTATCTTAGTCATTAATTTTTAAAGGGTTATTATTGTAGAAAAAAAAACAAAAATAAGAAAATCAAAAAATCTATTTAAACCATAGTATGGTATTTAATTTGTTTTAGATTTTTTTTTTATTTTGCAGTTTGATTTCAATTCGATTTAGATATTTAATTTTATAATTCGTTTTGATTTCAATTTTTTCGTATAAAATTTGTTTGTTATAAATCAAACCGAATTAAAAAGAAACATATTGACCTAGATCAAATTCATTTTGAATATGCTATAAGAGACTTAAATAAACAAATTCCTATAACTAATACTTTTTTATACATTTAAACTTATATATTAGCATTTGATTTGAACTTAAAACTTATTTTTAAAAAATTAAAAATAAATTTAATCATAAATAATATGTATATATATATATATATATAATACAATTTAATCCATCTTTTTATATATAAAAAAATAACCTAAAACCCTCACTCTAATCATGTCACAAAATCTAGGACATATAGTGTGCCGTTAACAGATGGGAGCATTCTCGGTTTATCCGAACATGTGTATGAACGTCCTTCACAAGCATGATCTACAGCTGTCTTAAACTTACCCACTCCTGCCCACTTTTAACTGTTTTTCACTCCTTTATCCTTGGAAGCCCTAACGATACAGCGGTAACATCCCCAAACCCCGATTCTTACAATGGCCCAGTCTTCGAAGCTCTCCCTCTCTTCCACCTTCACCCCCACGCCCTTCCTCAACTTTCGCTCCAACTCCTCCCTTCCCACCAAATTCAGCCGACAACCCTCTTTCAAGATACTTTTCTCCGCTTCCCAACCACCGCCGCCGTCGCTGCCACCGAGCTCGAAGCCCACCACTCCCGATAAAGCCCTGGACCTTGTCTCCCTCCTCCGTGCTATCCCGGACTGGGCTGATCGTACTCAAGAGCGTGGAATGGAACAAAACCGCGCTCTTTACAACCACGAAAAATGGGTTCATCACAGAAGCTCACGACGTCACCTTCGGCATTTACTTTCCATTCTACAATCGCGTGTCATCTTATCACTGGTTCCACCTGTTTTAGTTTTTACTTCGGTTGCTATCGTCGTCGCCACTTACAACACCGCCGTGAATTTGCATTGGTTGCCCGGCTTTTTCCCGGTTCTGAGAGATTCTTCGTTGCCTTATCAGTTGACTGCGCCTGCATTGGCTTTGCTGTTGGTTTTTAGAACCGAGGCCTCGTATTCAAGGTATGAAGAGGGAAGGAAGGCGTGGACTATGGTAATTGCAGGCACAAATGATTTGGCAGGGCAGGTAATCGCCGGTATTGACAATTCAGCTGATGATCAGCCCATTAAATCTGCTCTCTTGCACTATATCATGGCTTTTCCTGTTGCACTTAAGGTGAATTAAAATAAAATTAAATAATTGAACATTTTGCATGAACTATGAAGGAAATACTGATCGATTCGACGATACTGGCGTTTCTTTTGCAGTGTCATGTTCTGTATGGCTCGGATATTGGCAGGGATCTTCAGAATCTGCTTGAAGTAGATGATTTAGCAGTGATACTGAACTCGAAGCATCGGCCTCGCTGCATAATCGACTTCATTTCTCAGAGCCTTAAAGTGCTGAACTTAGAAGAATCGAAGAGAACTATGTTGGTATCTCCCTTGGACCATTTGAACTTAACCATGGAAAATATCCATCTTTATCTCTACTTGATTGCAGTAGTATTATGATCCCATTTCATTGCAGGAGTCAACAATCTCATGTTTCCATGAAGGAATCGGTGTATGCGATCAACTCATGGGGATTCCGATCCCTCTATCGTACACTCGGTTGACATCGAGGTGTTTGGTCCTTTGGCATCTTACTCTTCCTATCAAACTATGGGATGATTGCCATTGGATTGTTGTCCCTGCTACTTTCATCAGTGCTGCTTCCTTGTTCTGCATAGAAGAAGTATGCATCTTTTCTGGTGTTATGGGTTTTTTTTCTTTCGTTTCGATCTTTAAAAGTTTCGTTCGTGTTGCAGGTTGGTGTTCTTTTCGAAGAGCCGTTCCCCATGTTATCCCTTGATGAGCTCTGCATCTTAGTGCAGAACAATATAAAAGAAACGATCGCAACAGAGAATGATATTCAAGCAAGGGTAAAGGGGAAAAGAAAGTGGCATTCTTACAAACATTCACCTAATGGTTGCCCCAAAACAGTGTTAACAGGGTAGTTGGCAAAGGTTGTGCATATTGTGAAATATATATTTTCACATTGATTCAAGGCTAACTATCTTTGCCTTCTGCTACCTAGAATCTAGATGTACATAGAGTATGGTTGAACCATGCAAAAAGAAACGATAATCGTAGGATATCTATGTATACTTTACACAATTTTCTGATAAATACAAAATAAATGGGCTTCTTGTTTATGTGAAACCATTCAAGCCACAAGTTCTGCAACTAATTGATGCCATGTCACATGGTATTCCCCCATGGTGGAGTTCTATGGAAATGCTCGATGAAAGCTTTTCTTGGATTCTCAAGTAAACTAATTAAAATACTTGGGTTCGATAATAGAATGAACCTTTAAACTATATTTCCTTCACTGAATTGCTGAGTAAAATAAGGGTAAAAATGATACTTTAGATATCACATTTTACTAAAAAAATGATTTTTTAGTGTACAAATGCGAAAAATATATAGTTTAAGGGTCAATTCCTTAATAAGACCAAAATTTACATCCTCTTTATTTCAAGGGAATATCCGTATCCCTTTCTTTCACAGGATACGGAGTGGCTAGGGTTCCGTCAAAAGAAAAAACCTAACAAACATGGGAGGCAAAGGGAGGAGGAGGAGAGAGAAGAATTATAGAGCTGCTCATGGTGGTCCAGCCAGACTTCCGCCGCCGCCTGATCCCTCACAAGTCGAGGCTATACCTTCTAAACTCCGCCAAATCATGTCCTTCACCACCGATTCTCTCCACGGTTCCTCTTATCTCTTTTCTTTTCGTTATTAGTTTATTTCCTTCCCTTCCCTTCCACCTCTTAACGTGCACATCTTCTTTCCTTTTTTAGGTGAACACAAAGAAGCAGAAGGGGATGCTGGGAAAAAGGTAAAATTTATCATTTTAATTGGCTGGTTATGCGTTTCGTTTTGAGCTCAAGTCGGTTCAGATTTTAATTCGAGTGATGTAATTTTCATTGTGCAGAAAAAACAAGCGGTGAATGGAATTAAGCTAAAAGCTAATGAGATCAAAGATGGAAGTAATGATAAGAATCTCAAGAAATCTCGAGATTCAGATAGGGAGGAAGATACTATGCGGAGTGAAAAAGGTGGAAAGAAAAACAAGAAAAGGAAGAGGAATCAAGTAACCGATCTCCGGTTTGAACCCACTGTGGATAAGTTAAGCGGCAGCTCTAAACGAAAGGAGCGCAAGAAAAAGTAAACATTTCCTTGTCTTTTCCTTGCGTAATTGGCAATAGAAATTACATTAGAACTTAATCTTGGACTTCTGTCTAGAAATTGAAGTAGTATTATCCCACATTGTACTCGATATTTGATATGTTGAATTTTGTATATGTTTATTTTAAATGCTTTTTGCAGGCTAGATTGCTTGTCATTTACAAGAGTTTGATCCTTGTGTAGGTATTTTGAAGCAAAGAAGAAAAAACATAAGAATGCTAGAACAGAAGAGAACCTAGATTTTCCTGGAAGAGAGACTGTAAAATTCGGAGATGTGGTCGAAGCTCCGCCGAAATTGGTTACAGTACCCAAGGTAATCTTTATCCTTTGATATTACATCAATACTAGTGATTTTTTTCGTGTCCTAACTAGGAGTTGTTACTTTTGCAGGGATCAAAGAACTTACTCGATGCTTCCAAGGAGAGGCTTAGGTTACATGCTATTGAGACCTATAGGAGTCGCAAAGGATGGAGCTCGAGACCAGGGGCACCTCAACTACCTCCAGTAACTACATGATAATCAATTCAGCGCTATTTATATTTCCAGTGTATGCATCCCTTGACATTCTCTAGTTGTTTAAGCCTGCTTAACTATATGATGTCCACTTGTATGAGTGACCACCCTGTTGTTGAGTCTCGGCTCAATTTTGTTAGAGATAATGGATGTCCTTGATTTTGTTGAATCATAGCAAAAGATGCCCCGTTTTTAATTCATAGCACGCATATAGCAGTTCTTTCTTGTTTTATATTACATATATGTTTATGATTGAATTGAGAAGCTAAAGACCCTGCTAGAAGGCAGGAGTGAACTGAATTACTATTTTTAGAGCTTTACATTAAAGCCATGGGGATTTTGAATTTATTGGAATATTCTTGTAGGAACTGCGAGTAAAAAGTTAAAATGTGCAATTGTCTGTTACAATTGGTAAACTTATAGAATGTGCAATTGCTGGTTTCAATGAACTGAGCCAGCCAACTACGAAACCCTTGGTCAAATAAGCAATATATACCAGGTTTTTAAGTCATACATCGGTGAAATGCACGAACATGAAGGCTCTGCATGTTAATCAATTGAAAACAAAGGTCAGTTTTTTCACTTCTTCAGTCTTGAAACCACCAGTGAAACAATATGAGATCCAGAAAAGTGATCAAAGCGTAGAACGAATTGTAAAGTGCCCAAGTGTGTATTCTTGCGCACCTGGAAAGCTGTAAGCTTGAAAGAGATTTCTGATTGGAACATGTCATTCTTGTCAAGCCGTCTCTCCTGGTCTATACTCCTCTTGCATCGTCGGCAAATGAACTTCATTCCACCCATTGCATGAGGTTGATAAGCAACAATATCCCCTTTCATGACGCTGAACCTGTTGGGCAGAGTATCATCAGAGAAGCAAATCATTGGATCCTGCAATTGATGTGGTTCAGAAATTGATTTTCCGGAAATGTATTAAGAAGTTTCGGTAAGAGAATTCAAGGTTCATGGCAAATCATTGGATCCTGCAATTGGATCGATGCTTAGCATTCTTGGCTCAATTTTAATATTAGGTATTCATGGAAGTGTATTATTTTGCGATCTTCAAAACAAGACAGAGATGACCCAAATTCATATTTACAGAATACATTTTGTTCTTATACTCCATATATAAACCAGAAAAGCAAATTTATTTTTGGACATTTTTTCAAGGAAGTCTTGAAACTGGTGGAGTTGTCCTGGGAATAGCACGAAGATGAAGGCCTCCTTTCATATGAAGAGTGAATGTTACTTTGTAAATAGCATCTTTCATGTCATCTTCTAGCTTGAAGCGAAAGCAGCGAAGAAGTGCGATTGAGAATATCTTCATTTGTCGATACGCAAACTCTTTGCCTAAACAAATACGAGGACCCGCCTGTCAAACAATGCAAAACCCAAAGGCTTAGAATTTGAGGCATAAATGTATATGTTGTATTAAGAAAAGAAGATGGGATTGAAACATACATGGAATGATATGAATTTGAAAGGCGATTCGGGTTGAAAAACTCCATTCTTAAGCCATCTTTCGGGTCGAAAAACCTCAGCATCTTCACCCCAAATGTAAGGCATTCTACCCATGGCGTAAGCCAGGTAGGAAACCTCATCTCCTTTATTGATTTTGTGCCCATCTGGTAAAATATCATCCTCCATTGCACACCTTCCATCCTTTTAAATACCAATATTACATCAATATTATCAGGAATGGACACAAGATAAAATCTTATAAAAATTTTAGAGACTCGATATAATTACCATAGGTGCTACGGGGTACAATCTTAAGGTCTCGGTCAATGCTGCATGAAGATATTGCATCTTCTGAAGAGTTTCATCAGTTATTGATGCTAAGAAATCGTCTAAGTTAACATAACTTCTTCCGCCGCCGCTGCAGGTGACGTCCATAACTTCTTGCGCAACTTTTTCTTGCACAGATGGGTTCTTGCAGAGCATGTAAATGAACCAGCACAAAGCATTGGCGGTGGTATCTTTGCCAGCAATCATGAAACTAAAAATTATGTCCCTTAGATATTTATCAGTCATCGTTTCCGGGTTCTTCTCTTTCTCTGCTAAAAACCTCGAAAGTATGTCTTCTTTGACTGTCTTAAAGTCACCAGCAAGAAGAAGGGGAAAAAACATTTAGCAACACAAAGCATGAACCATCGGCTTCTGAAACTAAATTTAGAGCAAAAAAAAGTTATGACTCACGAGATCTGGGTTCAAAGCTAGTTGTTTCCTCTTGGTTCTTAGAACATTAAAAATAAAATCATCAATGATTTTGATGTTGTTCTTGAGGGAAGCTTCAGAACTGATGTTGAGAAACCTTTTCAGCTTCCACAAAGGATCAATATAACGAAAGTACAGCGACTCAGTTGCGTCATCGAAAGCTTTCATAAATTTCATCCCCTCATCTTTCTCGCTTGAGAAACTCATGCAATTCAAATCTACTCCAAACCCTACTTTAATTATCGACTCCATAGTGAATTTCATCAACATATCCTACACAAAAAACACGTTAAATACTGCGGATATATAAATTTTTAGTATTTTGATCCTTAAAAATTTGTCTAAATAATCATTTTGATCTTTATTTTTAGTATTTTAGTCCTAACATTTAAATTTTTAGTTAAAATGATAAAGGTTGAATGAAAACCCCTTAATTGACCAACAATCAATGTATATTACTGATATGATCATTTTACATATTTTAATTGTTAAAATATCATATATCAAGTCATTAAAGTGATGATATAACATATATCACGTCATTAATTAGATACATATGAAAATATTACGTCAACAACATGAATTAACCTTTAGTTAACTAATAATCTTTATCCTGGATATGTTATTTTAACTAAAATTTAAAATATTAGATATTAAAATGTCAATAAAAAAATAACATGAGTGAAAATGATATTTTAACAAACTTTAATGGTTAATTTTATCATTATGTTAAACAAATAGTGTCGGAATACTCACTTGGAGTTCAATTCCCTGGCCGGAAACCGAAAGCTCCGAAACAGCTATAACGAGTCTCGCAGCATTTCTTTTGAACACAGAGCAACTAAAATCTCTAAGAACTTTCGCCGATAACTCATGGCTCGCAAGCTTACGTTGCTGTCGCCACTTATCTCCATCGACGGCGAATATCCCATCTCCGAACAGGTCTGCAAAAATTTCATACGTGGATTTACCCTTGGCGTAGCTTCTGAAATTCGTTTTCAGTATGTGCTCGACGATTCGTGTATCGGTGGTGTAGAGTTCACTTCGGCCTAAATCCAGCAGCCTATACGTTCGAAGTTTTCTGGCAACTTGAGTTGGTGATCGTAGAGGTGGTCGAAGTAAAAGAGCATGTTGAAAACACTACCCTTCACCGGAGCATATTCTGGATCGTTGATGGATTTTCCGGTGAAGATTTTGACAACAAAAATGGATATAATTAAGAACACGAAGAAGAACGGCAAACCTATCAGCGAGAAGATAATTGTCAGAGTATCCATAGAAAATTCTACAATACATGCTACATATTGTACTGCAGCACTAATTTTATAAGGTAAAACTTTGACACGGTTATCAAACTATATTAAAATAAAATCCTTTTAAAAATTACAAAATATGCATTAAATTTTCAATTTTATTATTAAATGGATATCACATCTTTATTTATCATTAAAGGAGTAACGTAACATATTAAAAGTTCATTTTAATATTGTTTAACATTTTTAAATAATAATTCTAAAAAAATATTTATATATATAAATTCATAACTCAGTTTTAAAATTATAAAAATATTTTTTAAAGTTATAATTAATTTTTTATTTAATTATAATTATATTTGTAAAATTAATATTTTATATTTTTAAGATCCAACAATTTCAATTATCGAAAAACAAAATCATTTTTTTATCAAGTAACGCGATTCAATAATTTAACTTTGTTTAATAATTTTAAATTTAAAATATAATTCTAATTTTTAAAATAAGTTTTGAAAGTTTCATATTTTTAAAAAAAATAATTTTTTAATTATTACTTAAAATATTAGAAAATATCAGAAAGTAAAATTTTACTCACAATCGAGGAGCAAATGAGATTTTTTTTATTAATTAATTCAGCATACCACATTATTCCCTTAACAATAGTAAAGTGCCTGTGCGTTTTTCTATCGAAATCCATTTAATGCTTATTTTATAATTTTTAAAAGTTAGATGATCAAAAAGATCATTTCAGCGTAGTTTCAATGATATTTATAAACTTAGAGTAGTGCACATCGGTGTGTAACGTTCATTGTCCGAACATTCATATTTTTTAAAAATAAAATGACTATGAAACCCATAATTATCAAACACTTATATACACATGCATAACCTAATATTTTTGTTCAAATATTTATTTATGTCCTAATTAAGACAAACCCAAACCTTGTCAACCAACAAGTTGTTGTTCGAATATTTATTTATGTATGATAATCTTGAATAATACATGTACAGCTACTACGTGATTATGAGATCAATCACCACAACTCTCTATGAACCTATTTGTGTTTTTTTTTTTCTTTTAAGAAAGTACCTACTTGTAATTATTTTAACTACCATTACTTCTTCTTTTCATCAACTACGGCAACTTGATGTTATTGTTTTTTGTCGATCTTGTAAGAAAACAAATAATGGGAAAATAATTTAACAAAAAGTAACGATAAAGACTCAACACCAATACTAATGGAGATAAATGTAAGTTATTTAAATGTTTATTTTAACTCGCATACTACATAAAAAATTAAATATTTTATGATAACTTTTGGTTTATTAATTTTTTCAATGGACTGGAATGAAATAACATTTTTAATTATTGTTATTGTAAGGATAAGCAAAAAACAAAACGAGAAAGACTTTACACCAAACAATGCAGGACGTCACCCGGAATATCCCTTAAATCACGTATGGTTTTGCTAGTATTTAATTCTATTTTGTTTTTTGCATGTAATAAGTTTATGATTAAACGAGGTCATCTTTTTCAAACCATGTTTAACAAATTTATAACTAAGAAAATGCAGGACTTGTGTGCTGGCGTCGGATCAGACTATGTGCGATGGTGTTAGTCGGAACCATTCTGGTGAATGGAGTTATGATTCACTAATTATATTGGTATATGCTCGGTTTTACAGGCGTAATCGTGGGAGTTTTACGCGGGGCTAACGCTTGCTTGGGACCTAGGTGGACGACGTATCATTGTTGAGGTTGACAG